AGGCTAAATACGATAATTGGGCCTCACCATAATCTGTAACTTTAAAGTAAGACGTCGACAAGAACGGAATATGATAAGTAAGCTCCTTGTAAAAATAGAAATTTGGTGATCAGCAAGTAAAGTTATTTCCAAAAGTTCCATGACTTCATCATCTACCGTGCGCCTACCATACACCTACTGTGCCCCTAACGTATTTACTGCTCCTATGGTGACCCCACGAAAAGGCTTTGTCATGCGGAACAGATGCGAGATTTGTGTCTTATGTCAAAAAACCTCCGTAAGCGAATTTCAAAGTCCAAAATAAATTCCTGGGTAGGAAAAGTCGAATGATACAAAACTTATTTGCCAGATAGGCTTTTGAGGAATGACATTTTCAATTTTGAGCTACTGGAAATAACAACAATAATGGAGAAGCTGCATGTTTACTTAACAGCAGCAGAGCGACATTCACGAGCGATTTTACGTCATGGGCGTGGTGTTGCTGTTTGATTAGGACGAGCTTTCACGAGCGAATCGTTGGTTTGACACGTCGCACCACATAGTCGAACTTAGTTGAAAGTTATAATTCCTAACATCCGGAAAGCCTTTATCTTATGTAAAATAATATTTTAAATCCACTACCCTGTTTTTTTTTATCAGACGAGCATCTTTCCAGCTTGATCCAATTTCAAATTGGCATTTATATTCCAGCCTGACCTCGACGCCTTCTTTCCAAGCTGAAGAAGTGCGGTAGGAAAGCAGGATGACACTGCGAAGGAGATTGATCGAATTGCAATGGTTTCTTCGCATGAGGTATAATTCAAAGTGTCAGCTGATTAAATGCACTTTTTTGCAAAAAAAAAAGAAAAGATTTTTTGCGGAGATAATGCTAATTTAGGTTGGGTCGTTTTATCATCATTGGACTGGGTTTGTTTCTCGTAATCTTTATGATTACACAATTTCAAGATCGCCACAAGGTTAGTGTAACTAATTCTTGGTTATAAATCTGTCATTCGCGGTAGATTTTATCTGAAATCTTCATGAATGGTCTTCATAATCAATTTCCTTGTCCACGTCGAAATAAAAAGATGTTGCTGCTTGGTTAGAAACAGGGCTCCTAGATTTTGACTGTTTTGTTCATG